GCCGCGCTCGGGGCGGGGGTCCCGCCGCCCCCAGCACCACGTGCAGCCTCAGGCGGCCCCGCAGCCCCCGGCACGGACCCCCCAACAGCCCCAAAAGCCGCTCCAAACCCTCCCGGGGCTCCCCAAAAACCGCCAGGGCCAGGGGACCCCCCCAGGACCCCCCGAGCGCCGCCGCCGCTCGCCCCGGGCTGCCGTGGGTGGCCAGGACCAGCTCGGGGCGGGGGGCGCTCGCCCAGCCCGGGGGGGGTCCCAGAACGTCCCGGAACACCCGGAACGAGCCCGAGGCGTCCAAAACCCCCCGAGGGGCGCGGGGGGCGCGGGGGGCGGCGGGCGGGGGCAGCGCCCGCAGGTAAAGGGTCTGCAAGAGGGCCAGAGACCCCAAAATCCACAGACAGCCCCCCAGGAACCGGCCCATGGCTACCGGGGCTACCAGGGGGGCTACCGGGGCTACCGGGATGGGACTGGGGGCTACTGGGGGTACAGGGTCTGCAATAGGGCCAGAGACCCCAAAATCCACAGGCAGACCCCCAGGAACCGGCCCATGGCCACCGGGGCTACCAGGGGGGCAACCGAGGCTACCGGGGCTACCGGGGCTACTGGGATGGGACTGGGGGCTACCGGGGCTACCGGGATGGGACTGGGGGCTACCGGGGCTACCGGGTCTAAAACAGAGCCAGAGACCCCAAAACCCACAGGCAGACCCCCAGGAACCGGCCCATGGCTACCGGGATGGGACTGGGGGCTACTGGGGGTACCAGGATGGGACTGGGGCTACCGGGATGGGACTGGGGCTACCGGGATGGGAGTGGGGGCTACTGGGGGCACAGGGTCTGCAATAGGGCCAGAGACCCCAAAATCCACAGGCAGACCCCCAGGAACCGGCCCATGGCTACCGGGATGGGACTGGGGCTACCGGGGCTACCGGGATGGGACTGGGGGGAATTGGGACCAGTACGGAGGGGGGTGGGACCAGTTTGGGGTCGCGGGTCCCAATTTGGGGGTCTCTGATCCCAATTCGGGGGTCTCTGATCCCAATTCGGGGTCTCTGATCCCAATTTGGGGGTCTCTGATCCCAATTCGGGGTCTCTGATCTCAATTCGGGGTCTCTGATCTCAATTCGGGGTCTCTGCTCCCAATTCGGGGTCTCTGATCCCAATTTGGGGTCTCTGATCCCAATTTGGGGTCTCTGATCCCAATT